TATATATATATAACTAAATGGAAGTGATGATTATCTCCTCCACTTGGCTTTCATCATCATTTGTTACCGTTGGCCACCAATGCTGACTGAAGGCTCATTTATTACATAAGGTGCTGTAGAGGTGGAAAGCCATCGAAATATTATTGCTCTGAAACGTGATAGTGGTTCCTAAACTGGAATGATTTATGAGTAATCTGTTGGTTAACTTGAATTGACTTGAATGTGCATAAAATCATGCCAGCAGATTTGGAGCTGAATCATCTTTTCCTCACAGAAATGTATTACTCATGAGTAGGCGACTTGTGTATGTGAAATCTAGTCAAACCAATGAAAACACCTAGCTCCCTCGATTCGAAACCAATTTGCATCGGATGCTTTTCTTATTATCTCTATTTCAGGAGCAATACGAGTTTGTGTTCACCGCAGTCGCTCAGGAAGTGGACATCATGCTAAAAATGAACAACCAAAATTGATGGGCACGTAACTCACACATCACAGCACAAGCCAAATTTGGTACCATCCCCTGGTGGTTGGGCGGCCAGCAAAACCGGGTCGGTTTGAGGCATTCCACACTGTCACACATGTTAAACAAATTCATCCATTCAACACCCCGTCCAGCACTTCTCTAGCATTTATTGCTAGACCCGAGCAAATGGCACTGAAATCTGCGCAGTGCTAATAAAAAATGCATTTCAATGCGTTTTTCGTCATTATTTCGTTTTTATCAGCTTCGTAAGAAAAAATTATTCGATCGAAACAGGCCGATCTACAAGTGTCCTAACTGTCGTATATCTGCAAATCTAAGGAATAAAAATAATCCATATATTAGTATTGTCTTAATTCGAAGATAAACCTATGTTAGGCGGTGGAAAACTAGCGAAAAAGCACGAAACACTACAAATTAAACACAAGCATCCAGAAATAAAAATAAAAAGAGCGGTTTGGCGACGATAAGATTTTAGTGAAATTCGGAGTTACCGCAAGGATAATACAAAGTTGGATACGAATTTGATCTGAAGTATTTTTATAAAACATGGTATATTATCAATAACAGAAATCATTGAGATAACGGGTCACGGTGGTCTGTTGATTTCCAATGAAGAAAAGTTTGGGCGAACACAACAAGTACGGAATAAAGAAATTCAGTGATATATATATATATATATATATATATATATATATATATATATATATATA